TATATATATATATATATATATATATATATATATTACCTTAACATTTTCATTCTACTTTTACATTCTTTATTTAAGTAAAATCAAGAAATTAAAAATAGAAACTTTAACAATTACATCTTTGTCTACTCTTTTCACTCCTCCTTATAGTTGGTTATTTAGGATACTTCAAATGAGATTAAAAAATTTTTGAAATTTTTTGTGTGGATAAGATTATCTTTTTTCATTACAATTTATGCATGAGTGTATGTTAGTGTATAAGGATATATATGGATTATCCCCTAGGTAGTTTTTATTTTTATTTTAAACTCTAAATTTTAATATTAGTAATAATAATAATAGATTAAACTATTTTTTGTCATAAATTATATAAAAAAATAACTTGTACATGTATTCAAAAATATAATTGTTAACTTACTTAAAATTAAATTTATTGACCTAGTTAACATTGTTAATATAAAATAGTCTTTTAAATAGATTCATATATTAGATCAGACTTTTAAAAATGTCAAGTTAGATTTATGAAAGTTTATACTAAATAATAGGTCTAACTTAGATTTTAATTTTATAGAATAAGTCTGACTTATATATTCAAAATCTAACTTAACCTATTTTATCTCTAACAAGTTAATGGAAATGAGTAGTAAAGAAAGTTGAAATGAATTTCTATTTTCTCCCTTTCATTTCTAGAGGAAGTTCTGTCCTCAAATTCGTAGTTTTTACTAGCAAATTTGATGGTTTCATTGAGAGGGTGTCATGGCTGATAATGCACGACCCAAGCTAACCTTTGATTGAATTTAAGAGGCAATTGCGAAGCTCACCCATAATTGAATCAACATAATTTTATAAAATTGATTGAATATAAATTTAAATTTAAATTTAAAGTAACGTAATCTTTTATTCTGCAACAAATATTATAAAATTGATTTTGACACGAAATGTTGTTTGAAAATTTTAATTTTTTTCTTTTCCTTTTTAAAAACATGTGTAAATTTTTATATATTATATTATAAATAATTTAAAATATATGTATTTAAGTATTTTGGCTCCTTCAAAATATTTTGGAAAGATCTGTTAGTGTTCATCACTTACTATCAATTCTTTTGATAAGATGGGTCCTATGAACTTGAAAATTTTGATGAAGTTAGAAGTTCCATGTTTTGATGAGACAAATGCAACGGCTTGAATTTTAAGATCACATAACTCTTTGATTTCCATGAAACTCTAAAAGAAGGCAAATCAAGGTGGCATTATTACACATGGATTGATCAATCGTCAATTAGTTCTAATGGATGTTTGGGAATAGGATTTTCACAAGGATACCACCAAATACTAATGTGTGAAAAATTTACCTAAGATAATGTTAAGAACCCACTTGGGACATTATGAATGAGGCATTTAAGTCATTTCTTTAGCAATTTGTAATTGTTTCTTTTAATGATATTTTGGTGATTAACAAGGAGTTGGATGATCATGTTAGGCATTTGAACCTAGTATTTTGAAAGTTGTAAAACTAGCTAAATACGCTTTTAGAACGTTTATGCCATGTGATATTAGAAAGGGAAAAAAAAAGAAAAAAGAAGTGGAGCTTGACATTAAGTTTATTATTTGGGATTCCCCCAAACCAAATTGTGTCAAACTGAATTGTGATGGTGCATTTTCTCCTCAAACAGGTTATGCTGCAATTGGAGGAATTATTAGAAATGAGGATGGTAATTTCATAACCGCTATTGCTTGTAATTTAGGTCAGTGCATGAAAGTCAAGCTTTGGGCTATCAAACATACTCTACTTTTTGGCTAGCATCAGAGACTTCCAAGATGTGGAAGTGGAGTTAGATTCTTAGCTAGCTATCCACATGTTGCTTTATTACCTTCCTTCGTAAGCACAATTTTTGTCATGTCTATTGGGAAGCCATTGCCTTGTTAATACTCTCTTTAAATTCAGATTGTCTATGCCTATTTACACAGAAGTGAAGTTTTTTTTTTAATTTTTTTTATGTCACTTTGGATTTTCTTCACCTTCACTTATTGGCCGATTCTTCGACAATTTATTTTAGTAGGTAATTGCTTTTTTTGGGTTTGTTAATTTGCCTTGGAAGAAAAAAATATATACACCACCAATCAAGATAAAATGTCTCATTTATTAGTATCAAAATTTTTATTTAAAAAAAACTTTATTGTTTATTTCATATTATATATTATATAAGCATGCCACTGTTGTTTTTAATCAACTAATATTTGATCTTCTTATTATATTTATATAGTTATTTTAATAGGTAACAAAAGAAAATGAATTGCATAATAACGTACTTCAGAATTGTTAATTTTTTTTTAATAATATTTCAGAATCTGAATTCCAGATATTTACATATTTCTAACCATACGTTCAAGACATTAGTTTTGAAAAAAAAATGACAAAAAATACAATAACGTGCAATGGAATGTGAAGAAAACCCGAAAGTGTAAATAGAATCCACGTTGTTCAATTAACTGAACAAATTTGGACCAGTTCAGGCCCAAACTCAGAACCTGAAGCCCAAAACATTCCCCCCTTTTGTCCAAAAAGCTGAACATGGGTCGAACAAATCGAAAATGATCTGGGCCCACAAACATTCCCTAACAAACCAAAAAAAAAGAACAAAACAGTGCTTCCCGCACGTTAATCGCCAAACGTCGTAGCACATAGGCAAAGGTTCCTCAGACGAACGAACCGAACTCACCGTAACACCAAACACCACCGTCGCAGCGCCACGCTCCATCAAGCGCCGCGCGCATCATGGACTCCACCGCCGGAGCTCCGTCCCTCGCGGCCGCCCCTCCGTCGTCGCGCCCGTCGCCGTTCCCCGGCCGGGAAGACTGTTGGTCGGAGGAGGCGACGTTCACGCTCATCGAGGCGTGGGGCGAGCGCCACCTCGAACTCAGCCGCGGCAA